GGTGGGCCGGTGGGGGGAGGGGGTTCGCGCTGCGGTGCCTGAGCAGTGAGCGCAGGTTATTAGCTTCATGAACCAGCTGGTGAGCTGTCTGAGGCAGGACACGACACGGGCTTTGCAAAATGAGTGACATCAGTGTATCTTTAAACTGCAAATATATTTACATTTTATACCCACACAGAATAATTTATCAAAAAACTCTGAATTTGGAATTGTGATCATTTGGGTTGACATTTTTACTTGACTGTGTATGAAAGGTCTGTTGGGTAAATTATGATCTTATGAAATCAGGGATTTGTTAATATCCTAACAGAACAAACGGTTCACTCTTGCTGGGTTCTCAGCACCCGGGACAACAGTGCCCCTAGAGCTGTTTCTCTCCAGGCGGTGCCGCTGCAGCTCCAGGGGCTGCTGCCACAGCTGCCTAACACGTCCCTGCGGGCACTCGTCCACCAGTCCATCCTCCACGGATGCTGTTCCCATGCGGACGAAGCTGTGGTGCTCACACTCATTTCTGAGGGCTGACCTTCCGCCACCTGGAGGCCTGAGTGATGCAGTGTGGACAGAAGGCCTTGACTACCTGTCTAGGTTCCCCATTCCCCTCACCGACCTGGGAACAGCTGCAGGGACCACTTTCGCTTCCAGGGTCCCTGGACCGCTCCTGTGCTGGGATGCTGTCGCCTCCAGCCCAGTGCACGGCGAGGCAAGGCGGGGTAAGCCCAGCTCCGCCCTCCCAGCCCCAGGCCTGGCCTCTGCGCTGCAGCCTTGGGCTAAGGCTCCTCTGCGTTCCTCTGCCAGGGCGCCTGACATGCAGGGTTAAATGGCTGCTTTCCCTCACTGGACTGACTTCTGAGGGCCAGGCTGTGTGTATCTGACGTGGCAGTGTTGTTCCTGGCACCCAGAGAGACTGGAGGTGTATCTGCTAAGTTAGGTGACTTCAGGCGTCAGCAGTGCGCCCAAGGCTCAAGCAAGCTGGCGGCCTGCCCTCCTCCCTGGAGACACACTAGTTGGAGCTATTGTCTGCATGGGAATGGTTGGGAATGGAACTTACTCTCAAACAATCCACAGCTAAAACTCCCGCTGCTTTTGCCACTGTCTACATTAATGAGGTCTTCGTGTCTGCTTGTTTATTACATTACTACTGGAAAAATAAATACAGTAGGGCTTTATTTTTCTAACCCTTTACATGAAACTAAGAACAGATGCCAATTCTGGCATTAGCTTTCCATCTTGGTCTGCACACAGGCACAAAAGCACACACACTCAGGCACACATATTAATGTGCATAATTACTAGTCCACTCTATTTCATGGCCTCCACTGTCCTGAAGGTTTGGATGACTTTTAAATATCCATGTTTTATTGTTTTCAGAGAGGAAGGGAGAGGGAGAGAGAGAGATAGAAACATCACTGATGAGAGAGAATCATTGATCAACTGCCTCTTGCACATCCTCATACTGGGGATTGAGCTCACAACCCGGGCATGTGCCCTGACAGAGAATCAAACCATGATCTGGTTCATAGGTCGATGCTCAACCACTGAGCCACAAGAGCTGGGTTTGGCCGAAGCTGGTTTGGCTCAGTGGATAGAGCGTTGGCCTGCGGACTGAAAGGTCCCAGGTTCGATTCCAGTCAAGGGCATATACCTGGGTTGTGGGCACATCCCCAGTAGGAGATGTGCAGGAGGCAGCTGATTGATGTTTCTAGCTCTCTATCTCTCTCCCTTCCTCTCTGTAAAAAATCAATAAAATATTTTTTTTTAAAAAAAGAGCTGGGTTTGGATGGTTTTTATGTTTCCTGCCTGAACGATTTTTAATGGATGTCTCCCTACACGTCCTATTTATGCCTCTTTGGAATTTAACCTTTTAGATATACCCCAGATATGAGTTCCTTTGATATATATTTGAATCTGATATTTGAATTTGCAATGAAGTTAAAACTCTATATGTAATGTACTTTTTATAAATAAAACTGTGACATCAGGCCCTGGCTGGGTGGCTCAGTTGATTGGAGCATTGTCCTGCACACCGAAAGGTTGTGGGTTACATTCCAGTTGGGGCACATACCTAGGTTGTTGCGGGTTAGATCCCTGGTTAGTGTGTGTAAGGAGGCGACCAATCAATGTTTCTTTCTCCCATCTACTTTTCACTCTCTCTCTCTCACTCTCCTTCTCTCTTTAAAAAAATCAATAAACATCTTTGGATGAGGATTTAAAAAACAAACAAAAAACAGAGACGTCAGGAACATAGCTTTGCATTCTATATACACTCTTACTTAACAAACTAGACCATCTCAATGACTTGATGTCTTTTTCTACTGAAGAAAAGCAGCAGGATAGTCCACAAGTGAAAACTAGAAAATACTTCATAGAAGTGAAAATATTGTAATAATATGAAATGAAATATTTACATGGAATATATTGTTAGGAAATTTCAGCATACTCTGAGCTGATGATTCTAGATCTACTAGAATGAAATTACTAAGCAAATTGGTAAAAGTAATACTGTCGGTTAAAAATTTACTCAGGAAAATAAACTGAGGACACTGGGAGAACCATTTCTATAGCATCTGTTGTTTGACTAATTACTAGTCATCCTCCTCATTACACTTGTCAATCTATGGTCATTGGTGCCAATTCAACACCAACAGGAATCTCCAATTTGGGTGCTGTAAAGAAGGAAGCTTTATTCAGTGCAGAACAGCTCAATTTTGATACAGCACAGCTGTGAGGCAGTCCTGGGGCCAGGCCCTCTCCCTCTAGACAGCTCTGCTCTGCTGAGGCATCTTTAGTGTTTCAGCTCAGCCAAGGAACCACACTCTTTAGTCTTAAGTGAAAAGGGAAAGTGTACTCCTAAAGCCAGAGGAAAGGCAGTTTATATGGACTAAAGTCCCTGTCCTTGGTCCTTGATTGGTCTGTCCTCATGCAAATGAGGACTCCACATCCTCAAGTTTGATTGGTCCAAAAGGCACTGGGTCAGAATAGAACCACTCTGATTGGCCAGGGTTGTGCAACTCTGATTGGATGGGGAAAGACTCAATCCTATTGGTTGAAATAGGATTGTAGGAAACCTTTATTAGTGCTGGCTCAGATGACAGAAACACAGGGCAGGCAGGCAGTTCAGTGTTGGGGAGCACAGGAGACATGGTTGAAAAGTTTGTAAGGAGGACATTCCGAGAAAAGGGATGTGCCAAAGGCGGGGCCCTTAATTATTCCTTGACCCTTCCAAACAAATCTGTGCACATGCAGACCCCTCAGTGTTTACTGGAATCCTTATGCTTAATCTTTGGGTGTCCTTGCTTAAAAGACACTGGAAACACATGTGTCCTCACAATATTACTTACCCTACTGATTGTATCTAAAAGATAAACTTTATCTCAAAGTGCTGTTACAATAAAAGCCTAACAAGTCAGGCACTAGAGGCTGTCTGGTTCCTTTAGCCAGGCAGTCCCTTAGCCCTCTCTTTCACAGCGAGTGTGTTAGAGTAATCATTCATCCCTCGCTCAGGGTCTGCTGGTCAGCCCAGGCAGTTCAGCACAGGCTTTTCCATGAGGTGCACCTTGCCTGAGAGGCCTCTGTGCAGAAATGGCTGCTGGGCTCTGTTTTTTAAAATTTGAGCTCAGTTAGCCACCAGCAGCTCTTCCTGGTAGGTGCCTTCTTTTCTCTGTGTTTACACACTTGACCAAGGAACACTTTGTTAAGTCAAGTCACCACCACTTTATCTAGAATCAACAGAACTTCATTTCTTTGGAAATAGCCATTAATTCTTGCCTTCCACAGATTCAAATGAGACTTTCTTTTGATTAATCCAAACTGTGATGATATAGAGTACATGTAAACCCACTTGCATTATAAATCTTGCTTCATGTTCTAATAGGAACTAATAGAAATTCAATATTGCTCAAGGTAAGCATTGACTTGTATTTAATAGCACAGATGGATTTTAGATATGTTTTCACTTGGCACAGTCCAAACTTTCAAAGAGAAAGCTTTTCTGTTTTAATGGCTCATATAACAAACAAGGAAACAGACTGAGTGTTCTCTGAGACACATTTAAGACCTAGGAATCTTAAAAATATAAACCACAAAAACATCCTAGCCAAACAAAAACATCCTTCCCACTGAAATTTACAGTTCTATATATTAGTACTGAAAGCTTGTTCCCATTCCAGATCCATGGGATTAGTAGATAGATTTTTTTAAAGTGCCAACTGCAGATATGTAATAATAACAGATACGTAATAATACCAGATATGTAATAATAACAGCAAACATATTTGAAGTCTTACTGCATGCTACTTTTTATATATTTCCTAAATCCTTACTATAAACTTAGGTGAATAATATTGTTTTCTATATTAGAAAACTGATCTCCATCAAAGTAAAAATTAGTAAGGGGAGAGGCTCCAATATCATATAATCCTCTTCATGTTGAAAATTCTCTGAAGGCCTCAGTTTTACTTCACCCAGTGAAAGGACTCTACTCAATTCCACATGATGATTCTTCATTATAATTGAGCATTTAATTCTGGAATCAAAGTGTGCCACATATGCAAATTAGGTGATATCATTAGCTAAGAAACAGGATGTTCCAAGACATTTCGAAATAGTCTTGAAGT